AGAGAGAGAGAGAGAGAGAGAGAGAGAGAGAGAGAGAGAGAGAGAGAGAGAGAGAGAGAGAGAGAGAGAGAGAGATTTTCATTGACAGGATGAGCAACACACCGACCAAAATGCGCAAAATGGGATTGTCAACGCATTGGCCAGAGAGAGAGATGTTGTTCCCTATTAAGAGATAGTAACGAGGGACTAAGATGGCGACAACAAATGTCGATGAAGGGAATATGCGGCAGTCGTGGCCTGCATGGGAGGGCCACCTGGGAAAGGGAGAAGAGGTCAAGAGGGCAACGATTCCCCTCCTCTGTTCTTGTGAAGAGATAGAGGGGACAAAGACAACGACAACGGAGGTCAAGGAGGGGAAGACGTTGCAGTTGTGGCCCACAAGGGAGGGGCACCTTGAAGGGAAGAGGAGGGGTTGACAGGTGGAAGAGATCTACTCCCCTCCCAGAGGTCGGAGAGGGTACCTGCGATTTGTAAAGCAAAGGCTGTATTGGTAGAGATATCACAACGGCTTGTGAGGTACTGGAAGCCTCCAAAGTTGACTTGTGGTCAATGAAGTGGAATTGGTGGACACGAAGTGGTGGCCAAAACTGCTTCAAAATGTATTCTATTTATAATCTCAAAAGAAATTGGTCTTATAGTGTTGGCAGAGGTTAGGGCGAAGAAAGCGTTGGCAAGCCTTTGCTGCATTTATTTTGACAAAATTGGCGGTTTGGGTAATCAATGTTACGTAAAGTAAATTTGATAGTCATCCTTGATGGCCTCGAAACGTTCAATTCCTTTTATGATTGCATCTGCAAACAAGAATCTGGAACCCGAATACTTTCATTACCAACGGCCAGAGAAAACGTGGATGATGACCTAGCACCTTATCTCTTATGAAACATAATTAGTGGAGTATGAGATCCAATGTCTTGTCGTTCTTGATTGGATTGACCTATGCATCTTATCATACTTGGAGAGTCATGGAAACAAAACACGATAAAGTTGGATGTAGGGTTCCCCAATTTGTCACAAAAACCTAAAGCTGCCAAAAAATGTGAATCCCAATTTGTCACAAAAGCGTGAAGCTGCCAGCCAATGTGAATCACTTTCTGCATATCAACGAGTATGCGACTAATTAGCTGCACCACTAACTAAGACTGAACTAATATGAACTGGTACATTCACATCCTTCATTCCAGAACTAACCTATAATATAAAAAACTACTTTCATCCTGGCTTAGAATGAACACCAGTGGTATGCTCAAAGAGGCTCTAAGATCATATTCTAAGAACTTTGCGATCCTGTCATGGAAGCACGGTACTTTCAGTGCATGCTTTTTGTTCTTTCCAGGTTTCAACTTAAACCACCCGTATATTTGGAGAAGCCGAATGAGCCTCGCTGAAAAGTTAGGCAAGTCGGGACACGGCCCGCTCGGGGGCGGGTAATTTTTTTTTCTTGTCCAGGGTTGGGCCTACAGCCACCTCACGACATGGGACAATTTCTTTTTCTATTGGCCCTCTCGACGCCCTATCCCTAGCCTTCGAAATTTTTGGAGACGCTCGATTGGATTCTCAATTTGGTTGGGGCCATGTGCTGGTGGTTTAATACGAGTTGCTCCCCATTTGAATTCTCCTTTGCCCATCGCACGTGAAGTTTCGCAAAAAAATGGAATGATAGATTCCCTCCTTTGTGGTAAAAAATCTCTAAACACTCTCAGCCAGGCACGATTTCAAAGTCCCGAAGCATTGTAAAAACGTCAAAGCAACCTCTCAAGGAAGGCTCTTGTTCATCTGGGAAATAAAATGACGCTGTTTGCCGTGAAATGGTTTTCACATGTGTCGTGTAACAGATGCAATCCCAGGGCTTGACCCCTAGACCTGCCCTCTACCCGTGTGGAGTACCCGTTGACCCTGTGTATTTGAAATTTTGAACTTGGGACCCACCCCGAAAAGTCGTAGGATTTGACTGTTGTATATAACTTGGTTGCGTGGAATCGATCCATAGACTTAGATTTCAGTATTCGTAGGGTCAGTCTAGGTAGTAGCTGCTACAGTTCAGAAGGGTCAGTCCTACGTCAACCTAGGACCATCTAGATTAGTCTAAATTGGCTCTTCGTAGGTCATAGGAGTCAGTCCGTAGTTGAGTCAGCAAGGGGCAGTCCTAGTCTAGTCAGCAAAGGACAGTCCCAGTCCTACCTCGTCTAGTCAGCGGTACCCAGTCCCAATCTAACCTAGTCTAGTCAGCAAGTACCAAGGTGGAACTGTGTACATTCTGGGTCCAGGCCAAGAGGCCAGACCACCAACAAAACAAGTATAACTGAAGAGGCAGCGTCAAGCCATTCATTCATTCTGCCTATGAGTCGTGCGGAAGCGCTGCTGGAGCAACTTGCGCATCGGAGGTCCGCAAGTGCCCAAAGAAGAAGAGGGCTAAGAGGAGGAAGACGCTGCCATAGCCGCGAGTTAGTAAGAGGGAGACGATAGCCATAGTTGTGAGTAGGAGGTGCAAGCAAAAAGAAGTGGCAGCCATAGCCGCCGAGCTCGGAGTGAAGGAAGAAGATCAAGCGAAAGTGAGCGGGAAGAAGACGAGAAAGAGAGAAGGACGGGAGAAGGAGAGACGAAGGGGAAAGAGAAGGAAGCCATAGCTCAGGTTGACGAGGAAGAACACGGGGGGAGAGAGAAGATTGGCGAAGGAGGTCAATGGCCATAGTCAGGAGGTCGAGCGTTGACCACGAGGGTTGACCAAGGGTGTTGACCAGTGTTGACTTACATTGACCGACTCTGATCGGCGTTGGCCGACATTGACCAAGACCGTTGACCAAGCTGGAGCGCGGTATAATCTCGCCAAGCCTTGGCCTATCCCCTTGCCCTATGCATATGCACACAACCTTGGTACTTGCTTGAGCGTTAGTTTGTTTCTTCTTTCTGCATTGAGTCACTTTTGTCCAGGTGATAGTTTTTGTGTGTGAGGTCATAGAGTTATGGTGACCAAACCTACACAGGACCTAGTAAGGGTACAGTTACGTCTGACGACTGACAACGTGGGGACAAGACCCCCATGGACCGGTACAAACCGGTAGGTTGCTCAGTGTGGCGTGGTAGGCCCGAACTCTGAGTTGTCGGCTGCGCATCCGACTGTCTAAGTCTTGAGAGGGCTTTGCTGATCACGTCGTCTAGTTTGCGGCGTTAAATAATTCATGTTGAGTTTGGGGGATCTCCTTAAAAGGCGTCCTGATAAGAAGTAGAGCCCTATAGTAACAACCTTAAAAGTAGTGTAGAGTCGGTGATTGGGCAAGTCTACGTGGTGAGGAGTGGGACTGTCTGTCAGTTGTGTGTCCTTCACCATAGATGAGTATCCCATGTTCGCTTTGTTCACAGGCTTTTCCTTTTGGGAATCCCTATACCATCTCTTCTTCCCTCAGGGGTTTTGTCGTACTGTCAGTTTGGCCGTTACAACCAAATCTGGGCGACAGACCACCGCATACATTGGAGAGCAGGAGGAGAGACCGCCGCCATATTGCATGAGCAAAAGGAAAAACAAGAGAAATAGGCATTGCAGAAGGAGGTTAAGAAGTTGGCCTTATTGGAGGAGCAGTCGACGAAGAAGAGGGAGCTGGAAGAAGAGATGAAGCTATTGTTGAAAGAGCAAGAAGAAAAGACAGCAGCAGTCGAGAAGGAAGAAGAAGATGACGAAGAAGAAGAGGTGCCAGAGGCTTCGTTAGAAAGAATGACAAGAGGAGTTATAGAAGAAAGAGGGGAGTCTAGTGGCAGTGCATTGGAAGTAGAAGTTGGGAAAATGGTTGGGGAATGGGCATCTAAAATGGAAATAGGGGAAGAACGAGAGGCGGAATTGTTGGTTCCCCAGGCGGAGAGGGAGGCGGGACAGAGAGAGTTGGAAGCGTATGAAAGCCCATTGCAGAAGAAGGCGTCGGAGCAGGAGAAAATGTTAGAATGGAAGTTGCGCCTTGCGACGGAAAAGAAAATAAGGTTGCAGGCGGCGGAGGAAGAAAAGAAGTTGAGAGTTGCAGAAGAGAGTTTAGGTAACCTGCCTAAAGAGGCAGGCATTAACCAAAAGTCTGACACAATAACCCAGACCATGACTGCTGTGCTTAAAGCTCAGCAGGATCAGGTCAAACATATTAAGGGGCATGATCTTGCTATTGAGTCCATCCGTTTAGGCTTCAAGGACTTTGTGCAGAAAATGATGGTGCACATGAGCACGGAGTTCCATAGTATAATGTAGGGGACACAAAAATACTGCGCGGGTGCCATAGAAGGCGCCAAGATTGTTGTTCCAAGGAGGAAGAGCAACGACTGCGTCGTGAGTCTGTGAAGGTTAAATTTCCTGAACCCTTTAATGGAAAGAAGGGAAAGGATTTCGATAACTGAGAGGCTACCGTCAAGTCCTACCTTCACCTGCAAGGTATCCCGCAGGAGGACCATGTCCTTATAGCTTTCCAGGCACTGAGAGAGGAAGCGACTACCTTTGCTAGATCGATCGCGCGTGACGCTCGCTGTGAGAATAATATGGTTGCCTATTGTGCGATGACCGACTTGAGTGATTACCTTGCCACCCTTAGAGAGAGATTTGCAGACGTCACTAGAGGTCCTAGGGCATTTGACAAGCTCCAAACCATCCATACACGATAGTGGAGGAGCGCCCATGCTCTAAAAGCCGCCATGGATGAGTTGGTCATTGTGCTTGACCATAGGGTCACAGAGACACAACTAGTCCAACTGTTCCACCGCCCGATGCTCGATCAACTGCAAGGGCACTTCTTCGAAAAGAAGCAACAACCCGGAATGACTTATGGTCAGTTCAGTAGGGATGTTGTTGCTTTCGCTGCTCATTCCATGCCAATTACCACTTTTTGGCATAAGGACCTTGATAAGGGCAAAAAGTGGAGGGTGGTGCAGATGAGGGAGAGAAGGTTAACCGACCCCCCAATTTTCACCCTTATTTAAAAGAAAACCAAAAGGTCATTTTAACCATACTTTACACCAAGCTGTAGAGTGTACTTCTTACTAACATATTGTAAAAAAAAACCGAAAAAAATAAATAAAAAACATATAAAACAGCAAGCCAAAAGTGCACTTTCATGAAATTTTGCCAACATTTCAATTTGTCGATTTTCACAATTTTCACCACTGCCCAAAACAACCATCTCCAGGAACCCAACAAACACCAAACTTGGCACGTACAGACCTTGACCAAATACAAAATAGGCCAAAAAAAAAAAAACCAAAAAAAAAGAAAAAAACATGATCCCCACTACACTTTTCAGGGTGGTGAAGGTTACCCTAGGTGTGAAAAGTGAGGGTACCTGTTAACCATTTGTGGACAACAATATAGAGTGGGGCCTCGATGATACGGACAGCTTTGTAGGGTAGGGGAGTACCTATGCTGCTGTCGCGGCCAGGAGGAGGAGGAGGCCAAGGCCGAAGTGGCTTGGCCTCTGGTGGTCGAGGACAGGGCGGAAGGGGGTTGGCAGCAATGGAAACTGCCAAGTGGGAGGCAGGGGTCAAGGTCCCCTGTCAGACCGTCCATGTTCAGATCGGTCACCTCCCTGGAGGGGTGGTTGGCACCCTGGTTGGCTTGAGGGCTGGCCTTGGGAAACATTGGGCATTGAAACGAAGGATTGACATGATAAGATAGACAAATATCAGTGTGTGCTCTGCGGTGACCACAGGCAGATGATCAAATTTTGCCCGAGATAGAGGGGTGCCCGAAATGCTGCTTCTGGAGCAACAAAAGGCAACCGTTGGTAGACTATGTGGAGATGAGTGCGTGCGCCATACAAAAACTCCTCGTATGTCTAAGGCAGAGGTTGCTGCCCAGCGTTTAGTTAGCTGTCCAAAGACTACTTGTGTTAGAGTCTCTCTAGGCGCTTCCTGCACAGGTCTGGCAGAAGAGTTGAAGGAGAGGATGCAGGCCTGGGCCAAGTTGAAAAAGGAAGGTAAAGGACAACTACTAATTGCAGATGTAGAAGTATTTAGTGGTGGA